GTTTCCGTTCCTACCCCAATGCATGAAGCTCAGCAATCTGCAAGAAGAACTATGCGTGAACGACATCCTCCGTCTTATTTAAAAGACTACGTCACTAGTTAATTCACATTATCCAGCATGGAAGAATGTCATAGAATTTAATAATTCTATTTACAATATTTGAGACTCACTGTATTTGATCTAAATTGTCAAGTTGTTATTTCAGTCAGAGTTGTCAGGTTGATTTACTCAATAGTTTATGTTAATTAATATTAATGTTGTAAAGCCTTAATAAAGGTAAATTATTCACTTCGTTTAATAATTACAACAAATATACCCTGGATTAAAGGATGAAGAGTTTGCAGTGGGTTATATGAATGATGTCATGGAAAAGAAATTAAAAGACTTTAAAAGGATTATTTGTATTGATGGAACACATGGAACAAACCAAAGAACTTTGGATCTTACCATACTTCTTATTAAGGATGAGAATAATATGGGATTTCCAGTGGCATTTTTACTTTCAAATAGGTTAGATCAAACAATTCAAGAAATTTTTTTAGGGCACTTCAATCAAGACTGGGGGAGATACTTTGGACAGAATATATATAATGAATGATGATGACCCAAAATACTATAATGCATGGCTCAAGGTTATGAATTACTATGAAAAACCCAGAAAACTTCTTTGTTCATGGCATATAATCAAGAATTGGAACATCCAAGGTAGATCAAAACTTAAGAAGGCAGAAATTATACAAGAAATGAAGAACGAAATGAAAAGAATATTAAAAGAAACTAATATTACAAATTTTATGGTATTGAAGGAAAACTATTTCAGGCATTTGGAAGAGGAGGATGAAAATGATTTTTTGAAATAGTTGCAAAAGTAAAGAATATAAGCTATATAAAAAAATTAAATTAAACAGTAATATTGTTGTTTTCAGCTACTATTTCCAGAGTGAAGAAAAGATCATGACATGGGCCCATTGTTACAGAATTAATGTAGGAATAATTACAATATGGCAATTGAAAGGCCAAATGCAAACAATTATCAACATAAAATTGTCATAGAAGCCCATAAAAAAGCAGAAAATATGAATGATAAGGTAGAAGTTTCGAATTTGGAAAATTCAAGTGCAATCTTCAGTAAGTAATAAATATTATGTAGTATCTTGTAATGAAGTATATGATATACAATGTCGTACTGGGTATTGTAATAAATGTAAAATATTGTTATGCGAGCCATTTCATTATTCAGTCATGCTCTAACCCTACAAGTCCCTCTCTGTCTTATTTGGCCTTTGAGGCTCAACTTGTCCGATTATTATACATAATTAAACCCCTTAAGACCAAACCTATGGGACGACTATGGTGGAGACACTTTCGCGAACATTCCAGGATCAACGAGATACTATTTCTAGAACGTGCTAACGTTTCTGGTACATACTGGCAATTTTGGTGGGGGAGCATTCTAGATCACCAATTTGTATATAATTATGTTTTCACTCACTCAAATCACTTTTTAAAAAAGGATGTTTATTAATTTAAAATATAAGTGGTATACAATAATTCAGTATAATATTGTTGCGTGTTTACTGCACAACGAATAGAAAAAGAGTAACAAGCTAACATGGTTTCACAAAGTATTTATAGTTAGTTTACCCTATTTGATTACAGAAATAGAAGCAATAAAGGAAATGGTTATTGCGTCCGTTGTCGCTATCTTATCTCGTAGGGTCCATTAAGTAGGGTGGTTACGCTAACGTTTCTATATAAATTGGTGGAGGAAAGCCATCAAGATCAGTTGTTATATGGACAGTGAAGATAAATAGTAATTAGTAGATAGACAGTGGTGAATATAAATAGTGATCAGTTTAAAGACATTCGAAGTATATATAAATTAAAATAGTATTGTTTAAAATAAATAAGTGTTTAAATAAATTATTAATAAATAAACTGTTGTTTGAAAATAAACAAACATCACAATATGTTTACATGGATATCAATGTCAGTCGAGAGAATGCTGTAAAAACAGTGCTGTGTAAACATACATGCTGTAGCTTTGTTTGAGGAGAGAAATGTCTGTTTTAGGTTCCTTAAATACTGGAGAGGATGGGGATGATGTTTTGAGTTAGTCAGTTAAATTATCAAGATGATGTAACCCACTTTAATCAGGAGAGTTCGAAAATGGAAGTTAAAAATTCAATAATTAATTTTGAAGGCGAGAAATAGTTATGTCAAAATATATTTTGTGTTTTTATTACATACTATATAATTTGTAGATTGCATAACTAGAAATTTGTAGCTTTGGTAGAAGTTTAGATGAAAATTCATTTGCTAGAATTATGACTGATTTTCAAAAATGTAGAGGTAGAATGGTTTGGTAACAAGAGAACTGTGAGGGCATTAATAAAAATGAAAAATTGAAAACCAGACATACTATCCAATTAAAAAATAAAACTAATAATATTAATTTTATCCATTCTTGTTTTTTTATACAAGTACAACAAAGTGGATTGTAGTTCTTTTCATACATTGGATATTTTCTTTGTAGTGCTTTATTATACTACTTATGGTTTTTGGCAAGGTTTTGGTTTAGGCTTCGGTAGATATGGTTTGGGAAGGTGTAGGTGTTTTGTCATTAAGTTTGTAATAAAACATTTTAATATTGTATTCTTCTTAATGTTGTGTATATTGTTTAATTTTTTAAACTGAGCCATGTAACCAAAATTATATTTCAGGTATTCCATTCTAGATAAAAATTACATTTAGTTACAAAATAAATTCCATATTTTATATTCAATTTTTGTGTGCTACCAATATATTTTTCTACGGTTTTTTAGGGTGCAGAAGCTGGTTGTCCTTTAATATAAAGGAATATGGAAGGGAAGACCCCTGTGAGTATATTAACTATTAATTTGTATACAGAAAAGTAATTTAAATTTTTGTTTTATGTTTACTACAAAAATCTGTTGAATACATTTGGACCGTGACCATTAGATGCTAGACCTAGAAAAGTTACAATGCCTATTGCATATTAGACCAAAGGTTTACTTCTTGACATCGAGAAAAATGTATTAGATAGATAGATAGATAGATAGATAGATACTTTATTGTTTTAAAATATAAAATTTTATAAACAAAGTCTAAGTTCTTATAGTACTAATAGGTATTTACACAATTTAAAATTAAAATAACAATATAAAATTAGGTATTTACACAATTTAAAATTAAAATATAAAAATGTAATTAAAATAAAATAAAATTGGTAAATATTACAGTACACATAAAATTTTAGTTAAAATTATCATTATTAAATTCTTCAATAGAATAATAAGTTTTTTTTAGCATAATTTTTTTCACACTTCCATAGAATACTTTATAATTTGTAATTTTTCTTATTGCCAAGGGTAAATGATTAAACATTTTTCTTCCGTTGTATATAATAGAGTTCCTTATTAATGCGGATGATGGGATCGGTAGATAAAGGTAGTACGATTGCCTTGTATTGTATGTTGAAGTTATAATTATTTCTTCCTTAAACTTTTTATGAATAAGAGCTACCGTCTCTAATATAAACAGGCTGGCTACTGTTAAAATTTTATATTTATAAAATAAGGGTTTACAAGAAGCATAATTATTAAGTTTACACATGTACCTCAGGGCCCGCTTTTGCATAATAAAGACTCTATTAAATAGCTCGTCAGAACATGCACCCCAGAAACAAATGCCATACCTCAAATGGGATTCTATCAGCGCAAAATATACGTTTCTTGCAGCCTGCAAACTTAAACTGTAGGTCACTGATCGTACTGCAAAACAACCCGACGCTAACTTTTTACATAATAAATTTATGTGACTTTCAAATTTTAGTCTATAATCAATAGTTAATCCTAAAAATTTATTTTCATTTGTAACGTTAATAATTTCGGCTCCCATTGAAATATTTTCCATTTCACATTTAAAACAAACAATATTGGTTTTTGAAATATTGAACTTTCCTTTACCATTAGGTTATCATGTATAATATAACCATGCATCTTTTCAAAAAATATACATAATACATATTTTTTTAATTAGTAATTTTAATACATTTGTATTTAAATGTTTTAAATAAACCTAGTAAACATATGCTATTGTATCTATTCATTTTTATTTTCCATTTCATTGGTTTTATTTATTTAAAAATATACATATAAAATAATAACGCACCATCAGTAATAGGTATCAAAAAAAATAGTAATTATTAATTCTATTATAATCACATTCTATTATACAGTGCGTTCACAAAGTGTGGAAACTCTCCAATATCTTAAGAGTTCATTATTTTTGAAGGTAGTGGAAGTTAAACTTATTTGAAAAAAAAGTAGAACTAAAAAAGTCCTGTTTTATCTCGGCAAATAATTAACTCGTAAGACAATGGATCGTTTGCACATTTTATGATCGCACTATATAATTTACTTTATCTACGCAACGCAGCTCTTTTTTCATCAAAAATTTGAAATATTATTTGAATCCATCACAAAACCTACTTGAAAATTTTTCCTTATTACAAAAATTCCACATAACTACATAAATTGGAATTTTGAATTTGGCGGCACTAAGGCCACACCTTGGCTGATGCCGTAGCGTTCTCATTGGCTATGCACATTTGCATTTTAATGTATGCTTAGCGTACCGCCGTCATCTTGAATTTTTTTAAATGGCAACATAGGTCGAGTGATATATCGGAGAAAAGCATATTTTTCCTATTTTAAAGAATATAAAAAAGTACCCTAAAATACCTTGTACTTTTTCGCTACCTTGTATGTATAGGATCAGAAAAAAAACAATAATAATGTAATACAGTCTCAATTCCATAATTATACATTCATTCGTTTCAAAGAAAATACCTGGTTACTAGACATTTTCACTACCCCGTATAATATATAATTTTTTGGCCATTTTTCTATATGATACTCATTTTTATACCTAATCTTTATAATGTGCACTTAATTTATTTAAACAAAAATATTTACCTGAATGGTTCTGATGAGGAAGTCCCAAATTATGTATTGCAAGATTTGAAGGTGATCTAGATCTCACAAAACTTGGTCTAGGCATTTGTGGATAACTTTGTTTCGGAATATTACCAAGAATCTGATTCATCCCTTCTAAAATGTTGAGTGGAGGAGTAGGAGTTAACAAATTATTATTCTGTTGTTTGGAAATTGGCATATCTGGTTGATTCAGAGAATCTAAAAAATGTGGAGACGGAACAAAATGATGTGCTACATTATTTCTTTGCTGTTCAAATGCCATGTGTCGCCTTCTTTCTTCTTGTTGTTTGCAAAAATTATTAATCTCTATTAGTTCTTGAACAACAGCACTTAGATTTACTGGGTTATCCTCATTCAGGTTGTGTTTTTTCATAAAAGTACGTATTATAGTCTCTGTATTAATACATCTTGATTTAAATTGGTAAACATTAATCAGAGCTTGTATACACTGAATACATACAATAGGATTGTAAGACACAAAAACATCCTAAAAACATATTAATTTTTAGATATGGGTTAAAATACATTGCAAATATGATAAATACAATATATGACCATGAACCACCAAAATTTTAAAGTACATAATTTTGTATTTTAGTATTCTTGTAATGTTGGCATGATAATAAAGTTTTTTATGTGTATTGTAAAATGTTCTGTTGGTCAGATTGAGTATATTGCCGGTTCAAGTCGAATTTGTGACTGAAGCTAAAATTTTGATAAAAGTTTAATAGTTCTCAATTGTTTTTACTAATTCTTAAAATAATTAACATCAACACAATTCCAATTTTAAAATATGTGCTACAAGGCGTTTGAAAATGTTTAAAACTTGTATGTACAGACATGTAAATACACACTATAGTTGAATCTGGAAATATTAGTAATTTAATTTCAAGAATGTGTGAAGAATGCTGACTGAGTTGCCATATATGGAATAGTAATATATATAATCACTAGTGAAAAAGTCCTCTTGTACTGCAACCATTGAAAATTTCTAAAAACTTTATTTATTTATTCACGGGCCTAGCCCGCTTTCAGTACAAAGTTACAAATAAAAACAAAAAAGACCTCAAATAGAGTCAATCTAAATAAATAAACTAATAGACTAACAACAAAAATCATAAATATATTAACATGTACAAAATCGAAACAACTAATATTAAGACTAGGGAATTTAAGTCACAGTAAGTTTTAAGACCTCCACAAAATTAGAACAGCTTAAATTAAAAATTCTAGACTCTCAGCATAAGCACTAGCGTTTCGTGAAACTCTATGCATGAATGAATTGAGGCCAGTATTAGTTGAGGCTGCCAACAACATGCTTGAAATCAATGTAGGACAGTCAACCATATAATTAATGAGCTTAAAAAATGATTTCAGATCTGCCTGATCTCTTCTTATTCTCAAAATTGGTAAGGAGAATGTCTCTTGCAGTGCCGCAAAATCATAGGAATAGTCATCAATCCGTGGAATATTTGATTTAAATGCTAAGTAGCGAAGAAATTTTCTCTGAACCTGTTCTAATCTATGAATGTGACAAGTATACTGGGGGTTCCTGACTGAAGAGTAATATTCTAACAGAGGCCTAACAAGACTACAGTACAATACCCTGATAGCATTAATACTTGTAAAGTCTAATGTATTTATCTTTATAAACCCAAGTGCTCTGGGTACTATTGTGTCAATGTGATTGACAAATAATAACACCCAAGTCTCAAATGGATGCAACTTGGGACACTGGTGTACCCTTGATATTATATTGATAATCAATCCTGTTGATCTTCCTAGTAAAGGATATCGAGTGACACTTAGTGATGTTTAGGTCCATAGCATTATTCACACACCACTCATCAAGCCTAGCCAGATCAGACTGAAGTTTGAGACAATCCTCAAGAGATAAAACTGCTAGGTAGCACTTTAGGTCATCAGCAAAGCATAAAAATTTGGCAAACTTGAAACATTCTGAGATATTATTTATAAATAAATATTTTGATTGATACCGGATTAAAAAATATTGTTACAAAATGCACAAGACCAAATAGAAGTGTTGGAGGTACACTAATAGATTTAGTTATAACAAATAATGACTCGGTTTCAGCTGAGGTTATCAAAACACCAAGAATTTCAGATCATTTTATGCTTTTAACAAATGTGCTATTAAATAGTGATGGGCGATCTGTTTATAAAATTGAAAGTAGAGGTAAGGACTTAAATTTTGATTTAATTTATAACAAACTATCAACATTAGCATGGAACTATTATATTTATGACAGTAATGCAAAATATGATAATTTTGTAACAAATTTTTTAAAAATATTAGATTCTGTAGCGCCAAAAAACAAATAAAAATATTTCCTAAATACAAAAAAGGGTGAAAAGAAAATGTAAAACCTGCCATAAGGTACAGAGACCTTGCATATAAAAATTATTCACAAGAAAAAACAAAAAATAATTGGAATGAATACAAAATGCATAGAAATAGGGCTGTTAACGTAATTAGAACAGAAAAAAGTAAACACAGAGAAAAATATTTACGAAAGTAGGGGAAATTCAATGGAAATGTGGAAATATCTTGAATATCTAATTCCAAAAAATAATAAGTCGAATAACTTAATTGAACTTGAACTAGAAAATAATGTTATTATAAAAAATATTATTGACATGCCAAATGCTATTATTAAATTTTACAGAGACAGTATCCAATCGATTGCTAGTATGATTGATCATACAATACCAGATTATCAAATTTTCGACAGACACAATAAACATTTTCTTGGAAAATTTCAACTATGTAGGGTGGGTCCTTTAAGAGACATTCTTTTTGCAATGAAAAATAAAAGCACAGATGACATTAACATTAATATTTTAAAAAACTGTTTTCCCAACGTCTCAGAACCACTTTTAAATTTGATAAATTCGTCATTAGAAATTTCAAAAATACCTAATGCTCTAAAAATTGCTATAGTAGTGCCTGTTCCAAAGACAAAAAAAGCAAATAAAGCTACAGATTTAAGGCCTATTAGTATGTTAAGTTGTATCGAAAAAATCATTGATAAGGTCGTTTATGAACAAAAAATTTTTTAGAACAAAATGAACTTATTACTAGAATACAATCGGGCTTCAGAAGCAAACGTAACTGTGAATCAGCTATCAAGTGTGTTTTATATGATTGTAAATATAAATTTGATAAAAACTATCTAACATTGGCCGTTTTTATAGATCTTCAAAGGGCATTCGAGACTGTTGATCAAAACCGTTTGATAAAAAAATTGAAAAGTATGGGTATAGTAGAGCAAGCATTGGAGTGGTGTGTGGATTATCTAAGTAAGAGGAAACAAAAGTTAAAAGTAAATAACAATTTGTCAGAGGAAATTAACTATATCGGAGGTGTTCCGCAGGGAAGTATATTGGGTCCCCTGTTAATTTTAGTGTATATCAATGACATTGTTGATTTCAAGGGTCAATGTGTTTAGTCTGGCCAATTGGCAATGCCAAGGCCATAAATTTTAAATAAAAAAGGGTCAATGTGACATTCACCTGTTTGCTGATGATGAAATGTTTATAAATGGTGTTGCAATAATTTGTTGAAAATTAACACAAATAAAACAAAATGTATGCTGATAAGTAGCAACTATAACTATACACAGTTTGTTGATAAACAATATAACATAACAATTGGAGGAAATTCTATACAGTTATTAGAAAAATTCAAATAATTAGGGGTAATGATTGATAAGCAGATGAGATTTATAGATCATGCATGCCAACAATGTTATCTAAACTATTGCATTTAAGTTAAATTTCCTATTTAGAAGTTCATTTGGCTTATCACAGTGGACTAAATGTATTATATATAATACTATAATTCTACCTCACTTTAATTATTGCTCTACAATACTCTTTTTACTAAATCAAAATGAGTTGAACCGACTACAGAAGCTGCAGAATAGGGCTATGCGAATAATATTATCCTGTTCAAATGTATATTGTGATATTAGCAAACTAGCTAAATAAAGGAAATAATAAATAATAATAATAAAAATAATAGAGGTCCCAAAGGGGACTCTTGGGGACTCCAGAGGGATTGGAAATGTTTTTAGATCTGTAATTATTCAATTTAACAGTTTGGAATCTTTCAGATAAATAACTCATTGCAATAATGTTCCCATGATCCCAACAGTCTTCAGTTTTTTTAACAAAAGTTTATGATAGTCTATATTCAAATGTACATTACAGGTATACAAATAGAAACTTAAACATCAATAATTATTTTTTCTCTACACCCACATGGCTATTCTATGCACAGACTACAAAACGAAAAAGAATGCCATTGTGTCCAAATCAAACGAATATATTTCATATCCATCCTATCTAATAAGAACACTGCAAAAAATTAAATCCATCAATCACAGTTCATATTTTGGTCAACCAGCTACTATTGTTTTTAAATTTTAAATAAGTGACAATTCTGTCAAATAATTGTCAGTATATTTTTTAGTTGTTGAGATTAAATATACCTACATAAAAACGAGTTAGTCTTGTGTAGAATCGACAAAAAATGACATTTCTATTTTTATTTTTTCTATATTTTTAAAATTTTTAGCTTTTCTTTAGTAGGCGTAAAAAAATATACTGTACAACTCAGTAGTCTTCGTCTTCTTGTGATATGGCCATGCTCAAAAATAGTGAACGGTAATCTATGACATTTAAATTGTTTTATCTCCTATCCACAATATTTATAAAAGTTTTAGTGGTATATTAAATGCTAAACAAATGATCTAATTCATCTTAGTACTATTGGGAACATTATTTCTCGATCTGATCATAAATGAACAATTTCTACCTCAGCAGCTGATAGCTTCAGCAAAATCAATCATCTAATTATAAAACACAAGAACAATAAATTAGGTAAATATGTAAAATGGGTAGATCAAACTAAATATATCAAAAGTTTGTGGTTATAATTATTAATATTATTATTATTGGGAGATACAATCTATAATTGGTAGGTAATATGGAAATAAATATACAATAGTTCTGGTTGTTTTATGGCAGACACATTTTTTAACCAAATATTATAGCACAAAATTCACCAGAGTTGTTTAAATCAGTAAACAATTTAAAAATGAACAGTAAATTCCTTGGAAATCCAAAATTACCGCTGGGAAATAATGAAAGTTATTTTAGAACCCTCAAAGAGAAAACAAACTTAATGAAAAATTGAAAAAATTGCAAGGCAAGAACACCAGTAATCAACACTTTCTGAACATCTTATGGAGAAATTTAATGTAATTTTGTATACACGAGTAATCGACACCCTTTAACCAGTTATCGACACCCTTTCACCAGATACTGCCACCCCGTGTTACCAACACTACAAAGACAGCAGTAATGAGTCAAACACTGGAGCCCCATAATACCCTGATAATCTACTAAAAGTCTTGTAGACTGAAAAATAATATGCATATGCATACCCAGTTATCAACACCCCAAAAATTTAGGTTTGAATCCAAGTAAGCAATGAAATTTTACCAAAAACATGTGTTTTGGATCACAAAGATACCTTACACAAAATTGTATTCACATATCTTAACTATTTAAAAAGCAACAACCTATTTTATAATGTACTTACCTCAACAAAAGTCATTTTTTGGCACTTAACTAAAACTGTGCTCTTTGAGAATTTTATAGTGTTTGCCAGAGACATTAGACTTTCGTCCTGGCAGAGAATTATGTACAAATCTGAACAGATGCCCTTATTAGGAGTTTTAATTGTAAAGTGTCAATTGCTGGTGCACTGTCGATTAGTGCTCTTCATTCAATTTTTCAAAATGTATTAAATATATTTTTTCTCAAAAATAAATATAAAAAAAGGGATATAAAAGTTACTTAAGCCTGCAAACTGCCAATCGATACCATATGAGAACACCCTCAAAACTTACTCAAAGAGAAAGTTTATTTATAATATACTAAATGTGAACAAAATTTTTTTTTATTTTTCAGGCATTAATGGGTTATTTATTATTCTTATTTAATGAATATTTATTGTTACTGCATACAAAATAGTTAAGATAATTATTACAATTATTCAATAATCGTTTATTATTAAATTGGTAGGTGCTTATGTATTTTAAGTTACACTGGAAAGCTACTTCCTGGTGTATGGAGTCTACTGCAAAATACCAAACTGGACAAGGTACTCTAACCAACGATTACAGGATATATACAATATATCTGAAAAGGTTGAGGCTACATGGCCCACAGTCTTGAGAAATCTAAACTCTGTATTTTAGCGAAGGGCGTCAAACATTGCATAAGTATGGAAAATTTACTTGATTTATTAAGGATCCTAAGCGATATATTAAACCAATTCGGATTATTGCACCTTTTCAATCGAGTTTTCACCAAATGTTTTAAAGGTTTTAAAATATTACAAAACAATTAAAAAAGTTATGTAGAGATCTGTCTCAATTTTTAGTTAAACTACTACACATGTATTTATTAATGAATATAAAATATTTACCATTTCGGGAACACAACACAGTAACATGTCTCGTAAATTTCCAGTTGCATCTTCAATATATCCAAAGCTCTGTGTAGTAGATTCTACAATTTTTAAACAAGCTCTGCAAATAAGTCGATGATCTACAAAACCTTCCATTCTTTCAAATAAAGAAATAAGTACGTTAAAGGTTTTTAGAGAAAACCATTTATTATTTGGATGAAATGAAAATATATATCCATAACCTAAACGTCAAAAGTTTTCTGTTTTGTTGAAATTTTAAAAAATAACCCTAAACATTTGACAAATGACATATGAGATTATCTCCGCTGGGCAGAGTTCGGTAATTTCAGAAGGCTCCGACCAAAAATTTGGTCTCGGTTCGTTCAAGAACAGTCAAGCGGGGGGCTATATCAAGCTAGCGGGCACTCTGTGGCGGCCCCATACAAGACCTGATGGTTTTTTTGTAGCTTTTTAGTTATGCTATTTGCGAATTTGTAAATTGACCCGGATCCGAAAAAACAGCGGATCCGCAAGCTTGAATTTCCATAGTAGCGGCACAGATTCAGACTCAGCTGGTTTTTTGTAACTTTTTGTAGCTTTTTTGTTACGCCAGTCTCCCTTTTGTAACTTGTACTAAGCCTGAAAGAAGGGCGGATCCGCTAGCTTAATGGATATTTGTAGGGGCACTAGCTCGGATTGGGCTCTAATTTGTAACTTTTTAGTAGCTTTTTTGTTCTCGACTTTGTTGAGGGGCCTGAGCAAGACAGAAATGTGCGACTCAATCAATTTTCGGCCAAAAATAATAGAATTCTGTAATCTGTATTAATGGGTGCTATGATTGAACGTTTACGTTATCCGTAACGTACATGTTAGGCCGAGTTTTAACAGTAATGAGGCAAGTTCGTATGATGGAAAACTTTTTCCAACACGTTACTGTTATTTTCCGCCTGTTATCTTCTAATTTAACAGTTTTCCATCATCCGAACTTGCCTCGTTACTTTTAAAATTCGGTCTAACATGTACGTTACGGATAACGTAAACGTTCAATCATAGCACCCATTATCGCAAGCGCTCATGTTTTTATTCTTGGCCAAACATTTTTTCTTTACTTTTTATTACACTTTAATAGTTTAATTACGAGAATGGCTTTAAAAAGAAATATTTTTTTATATAAGTAATTATTTTTTTTAGTAGGAATAATCTATTTCACACATGTAGCGCCCATATATGTCTTAATAGGCGCAATTCGATTGTGTGACTATTTGTTGGTAGATGACGCCAGTATTTAAGACTTAGGGGTGTTTTTTTACAATTTTAGGGGTGGTTCAACCATTGCTGCAAGTTTTAACCCCCATTTTTGTAATCAGCGCCCCAAAAAACATATAAGATGACTTAGCTCGCGAAACACCGTGACTTGTCATTTTTTCCGAAAATTCACCCCTTTGGAGAGGTGTTTCTGGCATGTGAGGGGTGTCACAGAAATTTTCCAGTCTCGACATCCCGATTTTCGAAATCAGCGCCCCAAAAAACATATGAGAAGAGTTAGTTTGCAAACAAGAACAGTCGAAAAACGCCCCTATTTAGGGATGTTTTTTGCAATTTTAGGGCTGGTTTAACCATTGCTGCAAGTTTTAACCCCGACTTTCGTAATCAGCGCCCCAAAAAACATATAAGATGGTTTAGTTTGCAAAACAACAAGTACAGTCTGTTTTTTGCAATTTTAGGGGTGTTCCAACCATTGCTGCCAGTTTTAACCCTCATTTTCGTAATCATCGCCCCAAAATACGTAGGGAACAAGTGGTCTCGTCAAGTGCGGCGTTTCTCGACCTTTTACCATTATTTTAAATGGACTATCAACATGAACGAGTTACATGAACGGGATTTCTTAACGTGTTACATAAAATAGTTTTTTCTAATTTTGACAAGATTATTTATAAACTTGGGTTTTGGTAAAAAATTACTGACATCTAGTTAACCAATATTACTACTTTCTTGCATTGTTAGTTGCATCTGAATAACTTAATTATTCTTTTATAAATTATTAATTTATTCTTAACTTGTTGCAGTGTGTTTATATTGTTTGTTAAAGTTATATAAACACACTACAATAAGTCGTTGAGAATAAATTAATATGATTTTCTATTTGTCAATAAAAGAGCGAAGTCGTTCATGTTGCGGGACCTCACTCCGTAAATATTCCCTCGTTACATAAAATAAGACATTTCGAAACTGGTTTCATAAGGGCATCTATACTGTTTGATTTACATTAATAAAGTGCTTACGTTTATTTATGAATACAAATTTTCACGAGTGTGCATAAATTCTAGAATGACCTTTAATTTTCCACCAGTGTGAAATATACAATGTCTAACAAGGTTTAATGATCTGGAAAACTGTTTTAAACGAATTTTAAAATACAGTTTCCAGAATTGGTCTATCGATTGAAAATATTCCCATCTTTCAGCGACTTCCTGTTATAACGGAAGTTGACGAGCTTCGTTATTTTAAGATATTGGCAAAGTGGGTAATTTCTTAAAAATATATTGGATGGAAGGTGACCATAATTCGTGAAATGTTGGCGCCATCTATCAACAAATAGTCACACTATCGAGTTGTCTCTATTACGACATAGATGGCAGTACATGTGTGATTCTACGATTATTCCTACTAAATAAAAAATATAAAAACAGATTGTTTTTAAAAGCCACGCTTTTAGGTCCTTATTTATTAACAGAACTTACCTGAGTTGGACTTGGGTAAGTCACAAAGCACGTATCTTCTAGAGACCCCACGCCAATGTTAAACTTTTAAACCAAATTGGCGCCACCTTGTGTTTGGAGCTGGAACTAAAATGACAATTGACAGATGGCGGTAAATTCAAATTGTAATTTTTAGGAGTAGGTAGTAGTTTGAAATTAAATTTTAAATGATTTCCACATAAATTATTTTATAAAATAAAGAATGAAACTAGTAAGTTCGAAACTTTTATTTTACAAAATAATTTAGGTCGATTATACCAAATTTGAGGAATTAATTTGTTATAAGCAGGGGTCTGATGTGAAGAGTTGGTTCTGCATATTATTATTAAATAAATATAAGATATATCAATAAACAATAAAATAGAACATTCTTAAAATATGTTTATTAATAACTTAAATAATATTATTAGATAAAAATAAATACAAATAATAATACATATTTAACGAATACTTACTTGCAGCAAATAGGTATATAATCTCAAATCTTTAAAATACCTATCAATAATTTAAATGTGAAGTAGAGACTAGGATATTACATTTTATTAACACTAAAATAATATATTTTATAAATGTCTTTTAAACCGAGGACAAATGTACTATAGGTATTGTATTAAAAGGTGAATCCTTTTAACTATTCATTCAATGATAAATAGGTATTTTCCTTCCAAATACAGATGGTGGTATTACTCCACTGCTTTGTGTATTACTCTCTTATGTGAAAAATGATTTCGGAATCTAGTCCAGTGATAAATTGATTATCAATTAGTTGTTATACCCGTTTCTTTTTATGATGCAGATGCATGGTGAATCAATGAAGTTTTTCTCGAAGTTTTCAACGTAACACCCACAGGTAGCACCAAAATTATTGCAAAACACAGTAGGTTATAACTAAGACGAAACTATAAACAGAAACCAAAAGCCAAAGCCAACAAAAAATCACTAAAATCAGACGGAAAAATGAGATTAACCAAAAACATAAATAAATACACGTCACATCTTTGGAGTCTGGTTAAGTTTTTGTCCCATAAAGCTTAAAAATGGAGTAAGAAATCAGAATTTTACCAGTAGCCCCATCTAGAGTTTGGAGCAAATAGCATAAAAAATGTCAATTGTCGGTTTTGACCTTGGTCATTCACGTGGAACCTCTATGTGCTTTGTGGGGTAAGTCGTCCTTGAACGAAAATCGAAGTTCGGTTATATCGCGTGAATTTAGAGCTGGGTAGTAACAAATCCGTAAATGTACGTAATATAGATTTGCCAATATCCATCTCTAAATTCCATTTCAACACCAGAACCACCTAGAACTTTAGAGCAGAAAGAACGGCTGTCGTTACGCAGCGCTTTTTCCAGGGGTATATGTAATTTTGAGGGATTCCTTCTTATTTAAAATTGGTTGATAATTTTAAAAAACTTTGTTTAATAATTATTTAAGTATTTGTGCATAGAAAACTGCTACAATGAGACAAAAAATATTGGAACAAAAAAATCTTTTAAACCCATATTTTGCCGAATATTTATATTTTTCCTTTGTAGCAGTCTCATTTATTAATTTTAACATCTACTAGTGAACTATTGTATCCATGCATGCATTATTAACGACATGAGAAGTAATAAAAAATTTTGGTGAATGCGTATGCTCTTAAAGTCACACTTTATCTCTTGCCATCTACTATACAGATTTGCTAATACCCATCTCTAAATTCCAGTGTAACATCGGTACCACCTGGAACTTTAGAGACGTTGTAACCGAACTTCGATTTTAGTATAAGCACGACAAATCCGACTCAGGTAAGTTCTGTTTATAAATACGGACCTTAATAAAGTGTACTAAAAATAAAAAAAAAATAATTTTTCGGTAAAAAATAAAAACGTGAGCAACTACGGTATTGATACAGATTGCAGAATTCTGTTGTTATTTTTGGCCGACAATTGATCGAGTCACACACTTCTATCTTGCGCAGGTCCCGCAACGAAGTTGAGACCGACGTAACAAAAAAGCTACTAAAAGGTTACAAAAAATGAGCCGGACACGAGCTAGTGTCGCTACATATATCTACTAAGTTAGTGGATTCGCGCTTTCTCAAGCTACAAAAGGGAGACTGGCGTAACAAAAAAGTTACGAAAAACCAGCTGGGTCCAAATCTGTGCCGCTAATATGTAAATTCAAGCTAGCGGATCCGCTTTTTTTTTTCGGCTACAAATCCACAAATAGCGAAACAAAAAAGCTACAAAAATCCCACCATGTCTTGTATGGTGCCGCCACAGAGTGCCCGCTAGCTTAATAAAGCTCAAGCGGAGAATAACTTGTGCTCCATATTGTTGTAAATTGCCAAAACATATTCCACGTTTGAGTTTTAGGTTTTAGTTCAGTGTGCGTGCACTTGAAGGTTGTTTTGTTTTGAGGTAATTTGGTGTGTCGCCTGATTTGTTATTTATCAAATCAACTTCGTTCAAATTTTTTGTCAGAAAGTTTCAGTAACTATGTATAATCAAACAACAATAAAGCCGAAAA